TTGATTCTTCTAGATGGGAACCTCCAAATACTGGATCGAAGGCCCTCATTTCAAGTTCTTGCTCTGTGCTCCTTGGCCTGTCATCTCCATCTGCTGTCACTCTGGCCCTGTGCAAATGCTCCTTGATGAAAAGGAGATTAGCAGGTGCTAAAGGCCATCCCAGTCTCTTTCCCTGCTGTCTGCAGAAGGCAGGCCCTGGGCCACAGCAGAGATTCTCAGGCGATGGGATTTTTGTTGTTATTTTATTAAGCATTAGGTCTTTTTTGAAATTAAGCCTTTAAGGGACCTTAATATTTAAAAAATGGTTGAAATTAGAGTTGCTCTGGTTGAAGAAGAAATGGAGACCCCAGGATCCACCACCACCACCTTTAATGTGGAAAAATGGTGTCCTGTCTGTTGTGATTCCTGGGACATCAAGGCATGATATGAAAACCCCTGGAGTCAGTGATGTTTAAGGTTGGTTCTGTGATAATACATCAGATGTATTAGAGCATCACTGAAGAAGGGAAGGCTTTGGAGAACAATGACCAGCCTTCTAAGGCAGTTGATATTGGAAATACAGGTGAGATTGCCCGTTCTCAAGGTGCTGTGGAGCCTGTCTTTACTACTGAGCAGTATGTCCTGTACTCAGAATTTTGTCACTTGTACATGTTTTCCAATCTTGTGTGTTTTTTTCAATCAGCATATATTTTGAGCATCCACCCTATGCTAGCCATGTTAGAGTAGTGTCTAAGGGAGAGTCAGATGCCAGGCAGTACACACAAAGTAAACTCATGGTTACCTGCCGTGATGAGTTGATATGAAGGGAAAGACATGGTGCTAGGGAAGAGATTGAGTAAGTGATCTGAGTTAGAGTGAGGAGTGAAGGGATGGCTTTACTGGGCAAGTTCTAATTATACTGAGATGAAAAGTGATTTCAAATTAGAGGTAAGGTTAAGGGGGAAATGAAGTATTTCAAACAGCAATGACATGCACAGTTTCTCATGGAGAAAAATGCTTGATACATTGGAAGAACTGGAATGTAGTTATCAGGTAACTGGAATGGTAGAAAATGATGTAGAGACAGGCAGGGAAGCCTAGATGTGGGGGGCTATGCAGGCCATGGCAAAGAGTTTATTCTACTTATAAATTACTAGTGCCTATTATTATTAATGATCATTACAATACTATTTACATACAGCTCAGTGGTTCCCAGACACAGGAGATATGGGGCAACTCCAAGAACAAAGTTCAGAGGCAGAGGGAAGTCATTCATGCCAAACAGCAGCACCTCTTGAGAATAGCACTACAGCGGAGGACATTGAACAGTTTGTGCTGAACTACCTTAAAGAGAAGGATGTGGCAGAGGGAAATGTCTCAGCTTTTGACAATGAAGAAGGTAACTACTATTTATTTTGCCTTAACTAGTTCTTTCTCTTTGAAGCAAATTATTGTAAAAATAATGAAACGTCATTCCAGAAAGTTTGAAAATAATCACTCATAAGCTCACCATACTAATATAGCCATTCTCCTTTTTCTGTGTGATCTTTTTCCATTCTGTTTTATTATAAACCATAATTCATAGGTGATGGCAGCCACAGTTTTAGTTTGTTTTCAGTGCTAGGGTTGGAACCCAAGCCATAGTTTAAATGCAGCATACACTTTTTGCATCTAGTTATATGCAATGCTCCATGTTGCTATGGAGTTTTCATAATTAATGTTTTAATAGCTGCTGCTAAGTATCCATTCCCCCTTGGGAAGTTGAGGTTGTTTCGCTTTCTCTGTAATAAATAGAGCTGCAGTGGATGATTCTGGGCACATGATCTTTTCCTTCTTGCATATCTCTTCATAAATTCCCAGAAGTGGGATTTCTGGGTCAAGGATATGAACCTTATTTAATGCTTGCCAAATTACCTTCCAGAAAGGTTGTATCAATTTATACCTTTCCTTCAGCAGTGCAGGACTGATACTAGTTTGACCATAACCTTGCCAACATTGGCTTTTACCAATTTTGCTTTTTCCTAAATTAATAGGTAAAGTTGAATATGTTTCTATATGCTTCTTTCTGTGACATTGTTCTCTTATGCCCATTGTCTCTTCATATGCTTTATCTATTTATTTATTGGTAGGAAGAGATTCTTACCTGTTTATATGATAAAGGAAAAGAGAGTTCAGGCTAGTGGCAGCTCTGGCCTCTTGTTTTATTCACAAACTCAATCTGGAGCTTCAGGTCACAAAAGGATTAATAAATTATTAGAATCTCCTCTGCAAATATAAAATGCCAAGTCATAATGAGCTTGGTGGTCTCGGAACTATCCTAAATTGAACTGAATCCCAAATTAGTTTGTAAGGTTGAAATTGAGCAGATTTCTTTTCTTCCTCCCCACTCCTGCTTTTTCAGCCCCCCTCCATCTTCCCCTCTCCTTCAATCTATACTGTGAGATTTTGTTGAACTGAAGCCAATACTTCCAGGATAACAGGAGTTTGATGCACTAACTACAACAAATTTCTTCTAAACAGAAAAGCATCACAGAGCACAAATAATGATTAATGCAGAGTTGAGTCATTGCTGTCCCCAAGGACAGAGTTTTCTGATTAGAAAGATATCTGACAGGCTTTTTCTACTCAGGTTTGTTTGTTGATCCAGCCAATCCTTTTTGTGAACTATACTCCTTACCTAAACCTAGGAGCCCTGAAGAAGGGAAGGTATCTTGATCCTTTGTAATCCAGATTTACCATTTTGGTTTAAATATTAAGCATTGTCAGTGAAGCTCTTCGTTCTTCCGGTTATAGTGGATGCTGGCTAGGAGCAGACAGAATGAATCAAACCCTCTTCCAAAACCAGAAAATCCACATCCCTCAAATAACATTCTGCAGTAGGTGAATTTCTAACAACAAACCCTGCTCTGGGGAAAAAGCATAGCCGTAGCATTCTTAGAATTACCATTCATCAAGTGCACATCACATACTTGGCATTATGAAGAATGTTCGGCTTGATGCTGGTTTGACAAGAGCATTTTGTTTTAACCACATAAAAGCACCTATCCAAGGTCCCTTCCTCCTAGAAATCCCAGCATTCTACAAATGGATTTTCATTTATCTTTTTTTTTTTTTTCTCTAAGCATCTCTTAGAGAAAGGTGCAGCCTCTATTGTAAGATTCTGTTTTTCCAGTAGAGGAAACTGAAATAGGAAAAAATTAAGGGAGCAGTACTCGGCTCAGCGGAAATGAGTACCGTTGGTAATAGGGGTTTAGGGACAGGGATGAGTGAGGCTATAGGTAGACAGGAAAATTTTTCAGGATAGGGATTTTGGCCTAGATTTCACGCAACCCCAGTCTTTCTGGTGTTGTTTTAACTTATAAACTTACACATGTCTCATGCAACACAGTTTACTTTAGGCAGTGAGAGAATGGCAATAGTTGGTGACATTGTGTCATTTAAGTGTCTCAACAAGTAGATGAGATATATATGCTTTTCCCCTTTTATCTGAGTAAACTAATGTAGGATGAGATAAATTGCTGATAGGTTGTGGAAGCAAAACTTGCATCAGTCCCCTCTGGCCAAATCCCATGTACTCTCGCACCAAACAGTCCTGGTATCAGTTTGAACAAAGATGAGTGAGGCTTGACACCGGCAGTGGAAGAGCTCGGGCTGGTGGGAAAGATGGGTGCAAACTCCTCTAGGCCAAGGGTGGACCAAAAGGAAAAAGAGGACAGAGAAAACCCAGCTTCAGCACTCCAAATTAGAACTGTGGCCTCATAGGTTTTTTTTTTTTTTTTTTTTTTTTTTTTAAAGAGAGAGTGAGAGAGGAGAGAGAGAGTGAGAGAGAGAGAATTTTTAACATTTATTTTTTAGTTTTTAGTTCTCGGCGGACACAACATTTTTGTTGGTATGTGGTGCTGAGGATCGAACCCGGGCCGCACGTATGCCAGGCGAGCGCGCTACCGCTTGAGCCACATCCCCAGCCCCTCATAGGTTTTTATTTAAATATTTATTAATTGAAATTTAGAGAAGAACAAAGGTATAGGAAAAAATTTAAATCACCCAATATCTCACAACCCCGCTATTGATATTTTGTCATGCTCCTTCCCATAGTGCTCATGCACATTTTAATATCATATCATACCTTTTTCTTTTTAACAAGGTATGTTTCATTTATCATTAAAATCCATGCATTTTCCCCTGGTCATTAAAACCCTGATGAACATAAATCTGAAAGACCTTGTAACTCACCACTGTTGCGCTGAACAGGGGTTTACAGAGCCATTCCCCTGTGAGTGAACAGAGAGTGGTGTGCTGGTGGAACATGGTACCTGAGACTGGGAAATTTATAAAGAAGAGAAATTTACTTTCTTATAGTTCTGAGGCTGAAAAGTCCAAGATCAAGGTGCTGGTAGCTCAGTTACCTGTTAAAGGCTGCTCTCTGCTTCCAAGATGGTGCCTTCTTGCATCCTCCCTAGGGGAAGAACTCTTTGTGCTCAAAGGCAAAAAGCAGAAATACAGGTGAGCTGCAGGAAGCCTCTTTTATAATAGAGGCTTGATCCTGTTCACATGAAGAGGAGTTCTCGTGGCCTACCTACCTATTACATGCCCCACCTCTTGATATCATCACAATGGCCATTAAATTTTAACACCTGAACTTTGGAGGGGACACATTTAAACCATAAAAGAGTTTTTTCCAGTTTTTAGCTGGTAGTTAATGCTGTTGCAAACATCCTGACTTGTACAGCTTGACCCAAATTTCAGATGGTTTCCTTAAGATCTGCTCCTAGATGTTTTCCTGTAAGTGTTATTTCTGAGTGTAAAGCTAAGGATCAAGCTGGATTTGGATACCTCTCAAAAACCACTGTCACCAATCATGCTGTTTTTCCAGAGGAGTTATCAGACCCTCCCAAGGTGGACGAGAATGACACCCTTCCAGATGTGGAGCCTCCACTGCCAGTGCATATCCAAATAGCCAGGGACGTGATGGAGCGTTGCATTCACTTATTGTCGGATAAAAGTCTGAAAATCCGCTTGAAGGTCAGTGTGCAGCCCCTTCTCTGCATTCACAGAGCAGCAGGACTGAGGTGTAGTCTGGCTGGCAGTGACTATGTGGATAAGTAAGGAACTTCCCTTATCTCCTGGTCCATGTGTGGTGGCTAAGAGAAGGCATCAAGAGGAATTTATCTGAGGGATGACATTTTCACATCTTTCTGTGTCAGCTCAGATGCCGAGAGGGAACTGAGTCCCCTACATTAAAAAAAAAAACACAAAGTTATGAGGATTCATTGAATCTCCAAAGGAAAGAAAGTCATTGCTTTAAAAGGATATCATTTTCTGAGCTGACTAGATGCTGGATGAGGGTTTTAATACTTTAAAGTGGTCATTTTTGCAAACCTGCCCCTTATCTCTGCTTTTGTTTCTATTTTCATCCTAGGAAAAGCCCCAACACTTTCTGTAACATTACACACTTGTTTGTTGGAAGTTTCCCAAGTAAACACCCCATCAGCAAAGACTTGAAATAAATCACAGGACAGTGGGATGAGGTGCTAGTGGGGGCCATTGCTTTCAGAATCATTTCAGAGATCATACACCCAAAAGGAAAGCAACATTCCTCCCCACCTGCAAGCTGGGGGCAGAAAACAACTGGCTTAGTGACTCACTCTAGCGCTGAGAGCACATTGGCAAAGGTAGGAAACCCTGATCCACAGATGATCTCACAGGTAGGAAACGCCTGAGTCTGAATTTCATAGAACTTGTTTGGTCTTCCCTAGTACCTCCTTTTAGCACCCTTGTATTCCATTCAGCAAGTGCTTTTCCAATGTGTGTTACACATAAAACTTCAATGTATGTGTTTGATACATTCAGCAAACTCCTGAATATCCTTCCAGATCTTTCCTTTCATGGAGGCTTTGTAGCAGCTGTATAAACACTGTAATTAAGGGTGTCAATGTTGCAGTCAGACATACATACTTCAGTTCAACTCTTGGTGTTGCCTCTTACCAGCTATGTGACCTCAAGGAAGTCAAATCACCATTTCAGGCCTTTTAGTGTTTTTGTAAAATGGAAACAAGGATACCTACTTCACAGGTTGGTTGATTGTGAAGATAAAACAATTAGTATGAGGTGGGCGTATAATCATTCATTCATCACTAAGTGTTAACTGAACATTTGTGCAGGTCAAGCAGAGGCTATATAGAAAGGCATGATCCCTGTCTTCATGAAGCTTCTTGTCTGTTGTGGGGCAGTACACAAACACTCCAAGTTCAGGAGAAATGGTGTGGAGGTATTAAGCAGGTTCTATGACAGAAAATAGTAACTTAACCAAATGTGAATTGGGAACCTACTCTACAACAAACCCTGTTGAGTAAGACAGAGCTTACATTCTGATTTAGACTAGATGGTCCCAGGAAGGCCTCTCTAAAGTGGTAACATTTCTAAAGGTTGAGGAGTCATTATATAAAGGAGCAAAAGCAGGGAGAAGACCATTTCAGACAAAGAGGGGACGTGTGCATCTTTGAATTAGCAAAATATGATCTAACTTTTCCAGTTACTGACAGAACTCAGTTTAGAGCCAGTCAGGGATGCCAAAACCATTTCTGCTACAGTACTTTGCTCTCCTCTCTACTGCTGAGCTCTCTGATTTCCTTGCCAGTCACATCCCAAGGGCAGGACCTCTTCTGGTTCTGTTCCAGTCTCAGAGTAAGCTCCCAGTAAGGCCTAGTGAGGGTGGACTTCACTTGCCTCTGTGCTCCAACACACACCTCAAGTGCACTGTGAAGGCTGCCCTGCAGCACTGTTGCAGGTTGTCTGTGTTCAGAGAAGTAAGAGATCAGGAAACACATCCTTAAGGAACGTCAACAGTCAGGTGCATCTAGGTTAGCCCCAGGCCTCTCTGCCAGCCTAGCTCTCCAGGCAGCAGTAGCACCACTTGAATCCACGTGGCCCCTTGACTCACTCGCCCTCCATCACCCCTGTCGCATTTTTCGGACCTGCTGCTCTCATGTTGCTGTACCTGAGCCCAAGTAGCTGCATTTTATACCTCTTCCTCTCCCCTTTGTGCAGTCTTCCTGCAAGTTAAGCCATTCCAGTTCCAAAACAGATTTCAAATCTTTTTTCTGCCTCTGCCACCATCCAGTGGAAACATGCCTTTTGTGGACTTGTGCTACAGCCTCCTCCTCACTTCTCTGTCCCCTTCAAGCCCCTTCTCCACGCAACAACTAGAATGACCTTAAAACATGAATCATATTATGTCACTTTTCTGCTCAAAACACTTGATGGCTCTCCACTGAACTTAGTACAAAATAAAAGACTCTTAGTGTGACCCTCTTGTGGCCCAGCCCCTCAGTCATGAGCCATAGGATCTGTCCTCATTTCCTAAGCACAACAAGCTCAGGGTCTTCCTCGTGGTGCCAGCTGGAGAACACACCCACCCTGCTCAGGACTAATGCCTGCTCAACTCTTAGGTCTTGTTTTAGGAGCTGTTCCTCAGAAGCCTTCCCAGCAGTCTCTGCTTTAGTTCTTCCCTTCCGCCCTTTACTTTCCTTCTTGACACAATTGGTAATCTTCCCTTTATTTGGTTGTTACCTAATTAAGGTCTTTCCCCAGCTAACCATACACCCTGTGAAGGCAAGGAAGCCTGTCTGTTTTGTCCCTGTGTGTCTCCCTAGTACCCAGCCTAGCCTATAGTAAACAGTTACTCTATATATTTCTCAACCTTACTCTTAAAATGGTGACTTAGGCCTGGTATCTGGTTTCAAACTTTTACCATCTAATGAAATCATGTCTCTTTTTTCAGGTCTTGGATGTGCTGAACTTGTGTGTCGTGGTTCTGCAGTCACAAAAGAACCAACTCCTTCCCTTGGCTCATCGGGCCTGGCCCTCACTGGTGCACCGACTCACAAATGATGGCCCTTTGGCAGTGCTCAGGGCCTTCAAGGTACTGCACTGAGGTTCTCACTGTCCATCAAGGGTGGAGGTTGTCAGCCCAGAGCTCCTCAAGGTCTTTGCATCTCTTCTCTTTTCTGTTGGTTGCATGTCACGGACCTTGAAGAAAGTGTAGAAAAATAAGAAAAGGACAGAAAAGAAAAGTCACTTTCCTTTTGAATTTGAATCAGGATGAACTAGTAAAGCAAAAGGCCATCAATTTTTTATTGAGCATCTGCCATGTGCCAGGTGGTGAACTTGGCACTTCCCCACATGTGAGCTCCTCTCAGATCCGTCAGGGTAAGTGTATAGGCTCCACTTTTGGCAGAGGAGAAAACAGGCTCGGAGAATTTAAGGAAGTGTCTCAAGATCATACAGCTAGTGAGCAACAGACTCAGACCCTGAGTTCATGCTCATGTTCCTTGCTCTGCACATGGGTTCCAGGTTTCTAGTGAAGCTAGCATGGGCATCTTCTGCCCAGCTGAAACACTTTGGGTGAAGCCCAGGACCACCCGTTTTAGGGGCCTAGGAATACCTATCCCATCCTTCTCATAAGGTTGTCAGAGATAAAATGAGACTCTGATGGAGTGCTTTAACCAGCTGAAAGCCTGTGTAGATGCAGTGTGTTAGTCTCCTTGACTTAGCTTGACTTATATGAGCACATGTATTTTAGCTTATATATTTATATCCTTCTTTGTTCTAAAAAGCACTTATGACATCCTACAGAGATACATTTACCATGGCAAGCTATCATAAATTAGAAGCAGGAGAGCAAAACGAGACAAAGGAAAAAAATATGTGGGAATACGAAGGAAGCTGAGAATGCACTGAATATACTTGGCAAAAGTAGTAAGACCAAAATACCAGTTTACATTCAAACACATAAAATTGTTAACATGTTTTTCCAAAGCAGAATGCATACAATGATGTGGGGGGGGGGGCAAGGGGAAGGAGAAAGAAGGAGAAGTATTACTAAATCTTATTTAAATGCACCATTTTCCTTTATGAAAATTAATAGGTTATCTGAAATGACAGCGAGTGTAGAAAAATGAAAAAACCATCACGCTGTGTGCACTGAAACTGAGGCTGCTTTCCGCACACAGACACATTAATGACATCTGAGGCCGGCGAGAGCCTGTGCAGTCCAGCCGAGGGACCTGCAATGAGTGTCATGTTCTCTGCAAAGTAGGCAGCCGCTCTGTGCACCGTTTATGCCTTACTTGCCAATTTTTAAAGAAATTTCTCTTCTCCTGTATACTCAGCCTTGTGCAGCAGGGCAAAACGTTTCAATATGTTCTGCTAGAGAAAGTTTAAAATGAGACATGCAAAGAAACCGCCTGTTGTGAAAGATAGAACGAGGGTGATGTACATAAGAGATTGTGTAGCCAAACAGAAGGAACGCAGAGTTGACTCCAGCCATGGAGCTGGCCCTGGCTCAGCCAGGGACCTCGGCCTGGTTCTCCCCTCCCAATGCCTTCCTGTGGCAGCAGCCGAGCCCCTGTGTTTGTGTCTGCTCAGCTAGCTAGAGTTAAAAACACAAGTCTTTTCTCAAGGGATGTTAGAAAGATTCCAGAGATGATCTATGTGAATTGCTTTAAGCTCTCTCTCTTTTTTTAAACAGAAAGGGAGGAAAAATCAAGATATTAATCAAATTATTCATTCAACACAAGATTCCTCTGAATTATTCTCCATGTAATCTGTATTTATGGGTAGAAGCAGCCATGCCTTGGGAGCAAAGACCTCCAAATTCATAACTGTCAAAATTACAAACCATGGGCAAGGAATTAACAGCAGTAATTCTATTTTTTTTTTCATAAGTAGAGACCTAGATGGAATTGAATTACCAGGCATTCTTTAGCCCCCTTGCTGCCGTGGCGATTTCAGTCAGTAGACTGGGGACTGTTTCTGCAGGTTTTACAGACACTGGGAGGCAAGTGTGGTGATTTTCTACGGAGCCGGTTCTGCAAAGATGTCTTGCCAAAGCTGACTGGCTCCTTAGTCACCCAGGCGCCCATCAGTGCCAGGGCTGGACCAGTTTACTCACACACGCTGGCCTTCAAACTGCAGCTGGCTGTCTTACAGGGCCTGGGCCCCCTCTGCCAGAGACTGGACCTAGGTAGGTACCGACACATGTCACTGGGACACAGAGCTGCAGTGTTGTGTCCCGCAACCCACACCCCCCGACGCCTCCCCACCCCAGCCCCCCATGCTCTACCTGGTCCTGCCATGCTCCCTCGTGTGCGCCCACTTCAGTCTCACTTTGGCCTCATCGGTCTGTTTACCTTGATGCCATCCTGATTCACAGGGTGGAATATAGAGCTCAGGGAGCCTTGCCTCCCTGTGCCCATCTCCCTCTGACAGCCGTTGGTTGCTGCTTGTCCCAAATGAAGTCTGAGGGTCGATGCTTTGTTTTGCTTTTCCTCTCTGCAGGTGAGGGTGACCTGAATAAAGTGGCTGATGCCTGCTTGATTTACCTCAGCGCCAAACAGCCCGTGAAATTACAAGAGGCTGCCAGGAGGTACGTCTGCTTGATCACCCGCATCTCTTTACGTTTGTTCTAAATTATAGATGATTTGCTAATGGCAAGCAGAGTTGAGGCATCTCTGCTCTTTTCTCCCTCTCCTTGCCAGGTTAAGATGATTTCTTTAGCTGTGCCAACCCTAAAAATGGTATTTTTACTAGATGCCTTTCTCTTTGCAAGTAATCTTTTCCTCTGCTGCAGTGTCAGCATCAATTTCATAGGGGCAAAAAGCAGAACCACCATGTGGTGGAGAGGCTCTGCCCCCTTCCTGGTTAGAGGCCCTGTTCCTGGTGACCCTGTGGTCCTGGCACCTGTCCATGCCTCAGCTCTCTCCAGTTCAAAGTAAAAGCTCCAGGTTACTGATCTGCCATTCCCAGGCCCCACAAGGATCTAGGATGATGGGAAATTGCATGCAGGATTGGTTGTGTGTGCCAGCAGCACACAGGTGCTGTTTCTAGAGTCCACACCACCCATCTGGTTCTAGCAGGAATCTGGGACCCAAACAATAGCAATGACAACTGCACAGGCCTTGTCTAATTCTGAGATGACGTGATTCTGATTTCTAAGAGTTTTGACCATGCTTATTAGAGAAGGGCTGTATTACCTCTAATAGAAGAGCTAGTAGAATTTTTACTTCCATGAGTACTAAGAGATTTTTCTCCTAAGCTGAAACTCTGAGCACAGCAGCTTGAGAGCATCCCCAGACTTGAGAGTCAGTGCATTCTGGCCTCCTTTCCCCAGTTCTTCTTTCATTTAGGAGCAACAATGTTCTAGAGGTATCCCCTGGTGCCTGCTGGGCCTGGACTATCTGGCCTGCCAGCTTCATGTCCCTGAGCAGAGTCCCTCCTCCTTCCTGGACTCCTGGGGACAGTGCCCTGAGAACCCTTGCTTGGGGAGGAGTTGGGAGTCACCCCATTCCCTTATAGGCTTCTCTGGCTAGAATGGGGAGAACCGTCTTGCTCCCTCATAAACTTGGTACTCCCTGGGAATATCTTTTTGAATTGATTTATTGTCTTTGTAATTTTTGCTCTTGATTTCTCCAGTAGCCTTTTTTTTTCCCTGTCCCTTTTCTATCACATCACGTAGACCCAGAACCAGTGATAGTTTCTGGAGCACAGGGGTGCATCCCAAGGAGCTTCCTATCCCTGGCATCCCTATTCCTTAAAGAACCTTGGGGTTAGCACGGTCCTCCCTGGCAGTGCCCCAAAGCTGATAATGCTGTGATGAATGAATTTATCGTGAAGTAAATTTTCTTGGCTGCCTGTTAAGACCCTGAGTCACACAGCTCTGATCTAACCTCCCTGGCCCATCCTGCTTTCCTATACCCACCACATCCCATCTTTCAAGTTTAGAGCCATTAAACAAACTAATATTCATTATTCATTCTTTTTTCATTTCTGATTTTCTTTGCTGCTGCTGAACACAGTTAGGTCCAGGATCAGACTGTGCTCAGTCCCTCGGTGGCGTCTGGCGCCTCTGGGGAGGAGAGAGCAGCCGGGGCACCACTGCAGCGCCCGCTCTGCTTGCTCCCCAGCATTCCATTCAGGCCCTCCCTCTGCAGCAGGGGGGGAGAGGAAGCAGGCTTGATTGCTTCACACACATCGCCTGCAAACTTATTTTGAAGTCAGGGGGAAAATCAGTGTTGTCCTTGATCAAGAGCTGATTTGGCATCTTGATTCAGAAATTAATAAGCTCTCTAAATGGGAGAAGAATCCTGAGACAATAGTAAACTTGGTGTCTGTGAGCTGAATTACTGCCTGAGAGAGGGTGACGGTGGGCTCATTAGTGTGGGGACAATCACACCCGCTGGTACTGATGAGCCGCGTCTCTGAGCAAGGTGGGGTCCCCACCATCCAGCCAGTTTGTCCTTGGTTCTTTTTCCTTCACACTCCACATACATTAGCACGAGTGAAGCCCGTCCCGTCTGCCTTCTTGCATCTCTTAAAACTGCTTCTCTCCTTCTCCAAGCACAGTGTGGGCCAGGCACCATCACCCCTCAGCTGAACAACCACAGAAGCCTCTGTGCTAGTGCCCTGTCTTTATTCTTGCCCCTCCTCTGTATTCTCCACACATCGCCAGTGACATACGCACCCACTCTTTTGGAAGAAGAGAGAACTGTTGTGTGCAGGGAGCCCTGTTGTTGGGGTTTACAAAAAGCCAAGCCTCCCTTAGTATTGAGAAGAACCAGTCAAAGTGCTGTCCAGAGATGACTGGCTCCCTCTGAGCTGGTGCAGTCCCCAGGCAGCTCCTCTGTCTGCTGAAGTCTGAGGGAACCTGTGGGAGCAGGTGCTGCCGGGAGGCCTCCTGCCTTCTGCAAGGAGGTGGATGAGCACTGTGGTCTGTGGGCCCCTCTGGCAGGTGGGGTTAGCACCTGAGGCCGTCATCGTGTTGGAGTGGAGGCAGACTTGGCCGCTGCTCGGAAATCCTTGATGTGTGCACTACAGCCACGTTTCTCCTTCCTCTTGTTTGCTTTTCCTGGCTTCAAAGAATGGCCAAGCCTGTGTTTGCTTTTTTAATTTGTCATATTAAATATAGCCTTTGTGGCAGGCTTTTACGTCCAGGCTGTAAACTCTGGAAATGGAAATTGATCAGGGGGTGGTTGATATAACCAAGGCTGTAAACGCTAAGAACAGAGATGCCATTCTAGTTTAATGCTTTTATCTAGTGAATGTGCCTTGTAAGGAGGGGGCATAAATCTTGGAACTTGGGGGAGGTGGGGGGCGGGGTATACCCTTGCTGCTTGTTACCACCAGGTGTCACTGTTAACTGGAGATGCAAAACAAAAACAAAAAACAACCAGCTCCCCAAAGTTTATCCGGTTAAATAACTTCAATGGATAACGAGCAAATCATATTTAGGGTGTGGGAGGAGGGGTCAGTATACCAGGAGCTGTAAATAAGGCAGAGTCCCTAAGGGTAAGCATTGCATTACAAATAACCAGTAGGATCAGACACACCCTCTTCTCAACCCAGTGCAGAGGCATACTTAACTGATTTTAATTCCCAGGTGGCCCCAGAAGCCTTCAGGGTATGTCCCAGCATGCAGTGGGTCTCCACAGTTCTGTGCCTTTTCTGACCAGGGAACTGTTCCCTTCCATACATGAAAGGAATTTGAGATGAAAGAATATACCCCAAATTTCTGTTTTTCTTTTAAGCCAGTACATGCACTCAGCCAGGCTCAACTCCATTAGAACCATACTCCTTGGGCCAGCCTCTGAACCTCCCTGTCTTGCAGTGAGGTCTTACATCATCCAGTAAGCCTCACCCTGGACTACAAGGAAACAAAACTAGGCAGTACCTATTTTTAAAAAGATTCAGTCCCTGCCCAGCACATTCATGATCGAGGAACAAAACCTTTTGACTGCTTGGTCTCTACCAAGTTCTCCTCCCACCTGCCAACCCCAGAGCCCAGCTAGGGATGCAGGGCACCAACAGGTAGTGACCAGCTGGTGCACCTTCTGGCCAGGCGGGTACTGGATGCTGTGCTGCTGTAGTCCTCCATGTGTTGGAGGAGGGGCATTGCCTTCTCTGCTTCCACTGCCCAGCCACTGTGTATGAGAGCAAAGGCAGCAGTCTTGGAGTTGGACAGACCTAGGTTCAGATCTTACCAGCCTTTGAAGGAATGGCTTAGTCTCCTTGCATTTCATTTCCTTCCTCTGTAGATGGGGAGTGACAGTACCATCCTCTTCATAGGGTCTCCTTGTGGGACACATTGCTTTGACCTATCCAGGAAAGTCCCTCAGTGCTCACTCATTCTGCTTATCACTGAAGAGGCTGTATGTCCCAGGCACTGTTTTAGACACCGACAACAGGATGAAGCCTGTGCCTCACTGTGCCTGTGTTCTGAGGTACTTGCATGCAGGCGCGCACACAGGGCGGGCTATATGTATAAATTTATCAAATTCGTGTTATGTGTAGATTCCACACACACCCACCTGAATGCAGTCACTTGCCAGACTTCTGAGTCTTAACTGAAACCTGAGCAGGGGTTTTCACCTCAGAAAGGTCTTTTTCATGTTAATTGTGTCGCGTCTTCCCACCCCCTCTGTGCAAGAGTGGGACAGGTTGGAAGGTTCATTTACTGACTGACTTCCCTGCTCTCTTTCTAACAGTAGGATCCCCACCCATCAAAGAACCAGCGGTGCCTTCAAACCCTGGACAAATACAGACTGGCACAGGCTCGTCCATTTCATCCCCGTCAGAGCCCAGCTTCTGTCTTCACCCACACGTAGGCCTATTATATTTGAACAGATCAGGAGCCACAGAGGTGATCCGTTAGCTCAGCCGAGCTTGGAATGAGTGGCTTATTCCCTTAAATGGTGTGGGCAGTTTGTTTGACGTTGGGCTACAGAACTGTTTCCCCTTCAGATTGCACCCAGCATGGAAATGAGGGCACTTCTAATATTTTTCCTTTTGACACTTGATTAATAGTTGACAAATCCAGACCCAAGTAGTTGGCTTTCCTATTATCCATCTTTTGACAGGCTTTCCTGCTTTTCTCTTCAAGGCCCATTGTTCTAAAAATACACTCAGATCTGAGGCTGTTCGCTGTGCATATATAGGCCTGATTTCATGGTGTCAGAGAGAAGAGACATCTGCCATGCAGATTACAAACAAAGTGGGTTGCTGGGTTTCAGATCTGAAGGCAGGGACCTCGGTGCTGCTTTAATCAGATGCTACCAGTCCTGTCCCTGCTTCCTCGGGGTTGTCATGTGACTGATAATCGACCGCCCAGTGGGGTGTATTTGCAGATGTACATGCAGTGCTGGGTCAGGAACAGGATGCCCTTGATGGCAGATCTTGCCTGCCGGCTGTGCTGCCTTCACAAAGTGGATTGCAGTTATCAAAAGCCTGGGCAGACCACAGGGTAGCCATTTTGCCCGTCTGTCGTCTGTCTTGAACACCTAAGAGGCTG